ATCAGCGGATTTAATTTTTTTGTGGTCATTTTTCTCTGGTTTTTAGGACTCTAACCTCCACTTTTTCCACTTGATAAACATCTCCAACTTTTTCATCATATTTTACTGTTAGATGCTCTAGATTTTCCAACTTCTTCTCCGTCCTCTCAAATGTGTTTGATAATTTCTGAATTTCTAACAATATATTTTGCAAACTTAAAGTTTCTTTCTGCTGTTGAGATTGTGCCATTATCTTGAGCTGACAAACACTGCTGCTTTGGCTTGGAAGGTTTTTACAAGATTAAGCATAAATTCACAATAAGGTTTTATTTTCACTTTTCTCTGGTTAAAGATATACTTCAAAAAAACATCTGTATGCTTTTCTTTTTATGGCTCTCTATAAACAAAACAGTGAGACCTTTAAGTGCCAAGCCAGAATAATCAGTAAGGAGAGTAAAAGTGTTTTGTTTCCAATACACGTACCTCCATCCTCCGAGTAGCAGTGTCATCTTCCCCTCTGTTGTTGCAATTTTATTTGTTGCTTTTTGTATCTTTTTTATTCCAAGTTTAAAAAAAGTCAAATTCTTGAATAAAATAGAGAAGAAAAAGTGAAAAACACATGCAGTAATGAAGGAGAATTTTAATCCATAAGTTGCAAAAAATAATAATAAAAAAGAAGAAAACTTAACCCATTCAATTTAAAAAGTATGCATACATTCCATCCATGAAAATAACATTTAAACAGTAAAATAACCCACTGTCCAAAACCATTCAAAGCTTAATTACACCGCTTATTTCTTCTGTTCTCAAATTTAAATTAAAGTTTTATAGGCAGTCTCTTTTAAAATGGTAAAAATTCCTCACCAGCTGAAAACACTTTATCTTTCCATATACTTCCATTTTGATTTCATCAGCCTGGTGGCTGGACTTTTTGTCACCGGCTTGAAGAACTTCTCTTGGAAACATCAGGGACTTTGCAATGTCACTGAGATCAGCAAGACATATTCTTCCTGTTCACCATCTCTGTGGGACAGTTTAGGTCCGATTGGACCACCCAGTGGCAAAAGTATCAGCTGTGGTCTCGAAGCACTGCAACTGCATGTCCGTATCGTCGTGACATTGGCTACTCCTCCAGAAAGGGCTTGTTTGTTTAGTTAACTAATTAATCCTTCATTTTGTTTTAATACTGCCTTTCTGTCAAAGGCTTAAGCCATGTGAATTTGTTTTCCCTTTCTTCCTCTACTCCACTGGACTTTCTAATTCAAAGATTGACAAGATGAGATAGAAAATATCCTTTGATCTGGATCTATTGTAAACAAGGACGTGCAATGCAAGCACAGAGAACTGTGCTCAAGTAGGCCCAACTGATAGTTTCAGTAAGCGATTGAGAAGTTTTCAAGACAAAGTGGTGATCCTAATAATGGAAGATATGAGTCCCTGACTTGCAATTCCGAAGAAGGTCAACAAATCTCTTTCTGTTCGAGTTCTGTTTTATCAGTGCATGAAGAGATATTGTTTCAAGGGAGCAATTGTCTCTTTGGACACTGCATTGGATCATTGCCATATTCTTAAAGGCATATCTATGCTTTGAGTGAAAGGACTTTTTGCCTCACTCTGCTTCCAGTCTCATGAAATTGTATCCTAAGGACTGCGCAGGCTGTTGAAATTGTACCATACCATAATGAAAGGACTCCAAATGCAAAACTGCTGCAATATCCCATGAATTATTTTGATGGTTATTGGAGATTTGTCACCATGAGAAAAACCTAGCTATTTACAGAGTTTACAGAAAAACAGAGTTGGAAGGGACTTCGGAGATCTTGTAGTGCAGGCACCTGCTCAGGAAGGAGACCCTACATCATTTCTGACAGATGGCAGTCCAATCTCTTCTTGAAAACTTCAAGTGAGGAAGCACCCACAACTTCGGAAGGCAACCTTTTCCATTGGCTGATTGTTCTCACTATCAGAAAATTTATCCTTATTTCTAGATTGAATTTCCCCTTGATAGGTTTCCATCCATTATTCTTTGTCTGGTCTTCAGGCACTTTGGAAAATAGGTTGACCCCCCTCTTCTCTGTGGCAGCCCCCAAGTATTGGAACACTGGTCTCTCCTGGTCCTTCTCTTCACTAGACTAGCCATGCCCAGTTCCTGTACAGTTCTTCATATGTTTTAGCCTCCAATCCCTTAATCATCTTTGTTGCTCTTCTCTGCACTCTTTCTTTTTTATAGTGTGGTGATCAAAACTGGATGTAGGTATGGTCTTACTAAGGCTTTAGTCTCCTTAGGTCTTGTGCTGTATTGATAAAAAAAGTCAAATATTTGGGTGCTAGAGCTAATATGAATTGTATGTTGTTTCAAAATAATTGTTTTAACGTATAGAATGAAGTTTGAAAAGATATGATGACATGGGGAAAATTGCAACTTTAATTCTTTGGAAGAATTTATGTAATTAAGATGAACGTTTTAACTAGGATGTTATTTTTATTTCAGGTAATATATTGATGTGGAGTTGAGTACAAATGATGTTCATATTGTTGCTAAGTTGTATAAACCCTGAGTATTGAAAGTGGAAACAGAAGATGAATACATTAAAGATCACATGATAAAACAGGGCAAAAATGCTTGGATAAATATACAGTTGGATCAAAGGAAGAGTATGTAGAAGAAAGCGCTAAAATTTACATTGAATTATAACCTTAAAGATGGACAGTCTTTAAAGAAAATTCCAGTCATTTTCCAGATGGAGTCCTGAAAATAGCTTTCAAGAGTTATGATATCATGAGTCTAAAATCTAGGTCAAGAATACACTACACAAAACCAGATATTCAACACACACACAAAATGTAAATTGGTAGTCCCAGATTCTTCTGCATTTTCATTTTTAAAAAAGTTTTAGAGGAATAAATTGTTTGAGAAAGGAAAGAGAATCATTATATCCAACAAAATATTTTTCCACTCTTCCCATGCACATGTCAATTCTCTTTCTGAAAATACAAAAACCACGACAAACGAGATACAAATGCCAAAAGAAGTGGGGAAAGAAGCATCCCATAAGACTGTAATGG